GCCACCAAATATAAAAGAATGATCCCATTCAAAGAATACATTTTCAAAACATTGAGAAGATGGAGTGTTGGTTTTAGCAATCAGTATTGGCGTAATATACCACTGATGAAATATTGTATGCTAGTTTTCTCTAATATAAATTTATTAGAGAATTTAATGTAAATGTAATCTTTTTTACATTGAAAGTCATGGTTGTATATCAATTATTCTATTAGAATTCTTCACTATTCGATCTTACAGTCTTTAACCTATTCAGTTTCTGAATCATAGTTCATTAATAAGGCCCAGCAAGATTTTGAAATTATGTTAAATGTCTAATGTTCTTTTTTTATATACATTTTTTTAAAAAAATCTTTACTGCTTAATTAACGTCTTAGAACCAGGCAGGTACCACAACTCTACATCAGACCATACCCCCATTATTCTAGTCATTGTTTTTGAATGGTTCAAGATATCACAAATATGTCACAGTGAAAAGATTCAAACTTTGTTAACCAATTAAAACAAGATTTGGAAGTATTTTCTGACATTAGTAGACAGTCAGCAAACCACTGATCCTTTCAAGTCACTAATCCTTTTAAAGCTTATATTTGAAGCCTGATTATTACATATACTTTATGAAAGAGGACAAAATTTCAGTGCAATACTTTGAAAAAAATAGGTTAAAGAGTTTCTAAGTGCCTGTGTGAGAAGTGCTTCTCAGGGACTTTATAAACTTTTTGTTTCTGGTAAATTGAAACTGGATCTTTTTTTTTTTTTTTTGTATGCTTTAGATACTGAATATTTATTAAATAATTAATAAGAATGAATTATTAAAACAGAATTATTAGAAATGAGGGCAGATACTTTATAAAACACTGGCTTCAAGCTGAAAGAAAAGCAGCCATAAAATATTATTCCTATATTTCAACAATTCTCAGGATAAACACATGGTTCAGATTTAATTTTAAAAAAACTTTTATATTTTTATATTAGATCCTGTAGTGCTGCTTATATGGACTCTTATGACTTTTTGCATAAGAGTAATCTTTTGATGATCTCACAAGATCGAACTACTAATATGGTGGCTCAGTTATTACTACAAGAATTAATATATATATAATATTAAATTCATGAAAACAGGGAAAGCCCTTAGTCCAGACAATTTTCTTGAAGAATGGTATTAGGTTTTTACATGTTGTTGGGTGGTTTTTTGCTCCTATAATGTGAAGGTACATATGCAAACTTTGATTGAAATTCTGTCTTATCTCTTTTTATGAAATGTATACAATGTCATGGGTTCTTTTTTAAATTTCATTGACCCAGAGTCAACAAAAGCACTGGACCCTGGATAGGTAGTTTTTCTTTACCTCCCTATAAGGGTTGGGGAGAAGTTTTGGTTTGAAAAAAAAAACCAAGATATAAAAATAAAATGTGAATCTTAAAAATCTATATGTGAGTACTTTTCCATTGTCTCTGTCAGGCACAAAGGATCAGGACCAAGGGTCTTCAAACTTGGCCCTTTTATGACTTGTGGACTTCAACTCCCAATATTCCTCAGCCAAGCACGCTGGTTGAGGAATTCTGGGAGTTGAAGTCCACAGATCATAAAAGGGCCAAGTTTGAAGATTCCTGATCAGGCCCATACATTAATTGGCAGTTCAGAAGGTGCATTGCTCAAACCTATACAGAAGGGTCAACAGAATTTAAGAGGGGTTGGACATGGACCATTTGTGGGAACATAATGACTCTAAACTGATATTGTGCTTAACTCTACCCTCTCCAGCTCTACCTGCTCTTCTACAATATTCTATATTCTATTGCAATTCTTTTTATATTGTGATGCTAATTACTATTACTATAACAATTACTATACTCTTTTATACTACTACAATATTTCCTTATTACTGTTACAGGTAGTCCTCAATTTGCAACCATAACTGAGACCAGAATCTCAGTCAGTCTCAATGAGATATCAATGACTTCTTTGATCAACAACTACAATTCTGGCATTCCTAGTTGCAGTTTTAAGCAATTGTATGGATCATTAAATGGACAAAGATCCAAACACAGAGTGTAGGGTGCCTGGGAGTAGGATGGAGGGGACTCTGGAAAGTTAGGCTCAGATCTGAGGCCAGGGAACACTTCTGCCTGCCTCTGGAGGCTGGATGGGGGCGTTATAGGCCTTTCCCAGGCCACTTCCACCTGGATCTGAGGTTGGGGGATGCTTCTGTAGCTCTCTGGCGGTCCGATCTGAGCACCGGAGGCCTTTTGCAGACTGATGCCATCCAGATCTGAGGCCGGGGGATGTTTTCTGATCCTGATCTGGACACTGGAGGCCTTTTCTAGGAAGTGTTCCCCAGCTTCAGATCTAGGTGGCAGCAGCCTGGAAAAGACCTATGATGACCCGATCCAGCATCTGTAGACACATGGAAGCATCCCCCAGCCTCAGATCTGGGTGGCAGCAATCTGAAAAAGCTTCTGATACCCCGATCCAGCCTCCGGAGGCATGTGGAAGCATTCCCTGGCCTCAGATCCAGGCGGCAGCAGAAACGCAGCAGAGAGGAGATAGATCTTTTCAAGGTAAGTCTGGTGCAGCAGGAAGGGGGGGAAGCATGAGATATATTAATGGGTCGGGGAGGCCTTGGGGGCCTGTTCCATCACTAGGCCCTCCATGGCTTTCCCCATCCTGAGATGACTCATGTTCACTTAAGAGTCGCGTCCGTCTTAATGAGCAAGAGGGTGTTCTCTTTCGAGGTACGAGATTCACTCCCATGAATTTTCGAGTTACAAGTGGAATGGGCAGGCTCCACTACACTCGTAACTCAAGGACTACTTGTACTTCTTTTTCTGAACCATCCATTCCATTTAAAGGAAAAAACCTTGTTTTAGTTGACTGCTTTTCTCTGTTAGTAGTACAGAGCTCCCAAACACACCCCTTCTTGCTTCCCCTCCCATCTCTTCCCATACCTGTTTCAAGGTTGCAGCTTTATTGGCAACTCTGCTGTGCTGACACTGGGATAAAGACTAAGAGGGGAGGGGGGGAAGGCAGCACAGATGCCTGTATTATTTCTAAGCAGCCTGCTTTTCCTGATACAACAGTAATATTAAAGCCAGGAAAAGATTCTGCAGATTATGCAAGCTATTGTCTGATTGCTTTGTTAAATGCAGATGCTAAAATTTTGACAGCAACTTTTTAACAAAGCTTGCAAAGTATATTACTTTCATTAATTCATTCTGTACAATCTAGCTGTAAGGTTCTTGGCCTCTGCCTAAAGCCAAAGTAATTTCTTTTCCCAGCGTGAGTCTCACAGTTTCTTTAGCAATATTTTATGAAAAAGAATGGGGTTAGGTTACACTAATACAACTGAAATTCTTCTCAATCTATAGTCAATATATTCCAACAAATATTAAGGCGGAGTCTTCTCTCTCTCTCTCTCTCATAACGAAACTATTCGTTACCTTAATTCTGAGTAGAATAGAACAGAATAAAAACTTTATTTTCACTTTAAATGTACACTAATCAGCATACAGTAAAATGAAATGTCATTGCATTCAGCTCTCAAAACAATACCATTGTGCATGTACCCCCCCCACACACACATATATGACACAGAGAAACATCACAGTCTAGTTCGAACGTATACTTATATATGGTGGAAAAAAAAGAATCCTGCGAATTTAATAGCATTTAAGGCCCAAGTTAACAAAACTAACAGCTTTATATATTTCTGGCACAGTATATTTTGCCTTTATACCAAAATAATCACATGCAAGCTGAGTGGCTTTGGAAAATATGTATTAGAATTAAGGAGTAATTAAGAATGTCGCAACAGGGTGCAACCCATGACACTCTTCTGTTGTCAGCTCCTTAATGCCAATACATATTTTCATATTTTTCATATCACAAACACATATTTTATACATACATAGTTTTAAGAAAGTAAGTACTTTTAAGAAAGAAGATAAAACTACATACATACTCTTAAGAAAGATGTTAAAATCTAATAGAAAGTAATATAAAGTAAGAAAAAAAGAGATAAATGCAAGGTAAGGCAAAGCAAGGAAAGGAAAGGAAAGGAAACGGCTTCCCAATTTATTTATAGTAATTATAGGTACCATTATAAGTTTACCTCTTGCTCTGTGGTTGCAAAATACAAATAGTCCTCAATTTACTACTTAACTCAGTCTTAAAGTGGGTCAGCACATGACCAGGGCCATGACCTTTTTGAGGCAGTTGTTAAGTGAACCACGATAATTGTTAAGCAAATGCAACAGTTGTTAACTAAATCCACTGTCCATAATGGCCATTTTTTTTTTTTTGCTGAAAACTGAAAATAAATACCAATTTCCAGAAAACAAAAGTCATAATCATGGTCATGTGACCACAGGACACTGCAAAGAACAAGAAATGCATCCACAATGTGATCACCTGACCTTCAAACTTCAAACCCAGGTCATAAGTAACACTGGGGAGGTCTGTTGTAACTTTGAACAGTCACTACATTAAGATTGAACACGTTTATTTATTAGGTTAAATAAAATGGATTTTATTGAGAATAGGGGAATCAAACAAATTTCAGGATCTTATTCTTTTTGATCCTTTATATTTCATAAAACCAGCTCCAAATATAGACACCAGATGACCCATAGGAAGGTTAATAGGTATTGAATTTGTGAATGCTCCAACACTGGAAGTTTTTAAGAAGAGACTGGACAACCATTTGTCTGAAATTGTATATGGTTTCCTGCCTCAGCAGGGACTAGAAGATCTCCAAGGTCCCTTCCAACATTACTACTACTACTACTACTACTACTACTACTACTACTACTACTACTACTACTATTAAATTGTTGTGTGCAGCAAGGTGATTAATTTTAATATGCACCATACACATCTCACACATGTAAATAGAGGTAGGGCTTTAATTGCTCCAGGTGCCCCCACCATTTCTGTAGATAGCCCTTTATAGATATTGGGAGCATGATAGATGTTGCTAACCATCTTTGTCTTTATGCAGAAGAGCTGAAAGAGAAGCTAAAAGAATATGTTGATGAATTGAACACACGGAAACCGGGGTTCATTAAGATGGTCCGCCACAGCAAGCAAGAGGGACTGATTCGATCTCGTGTTAGTGGCTGGAGGGCAGCTACTGCTCCAGTAGTTGCACTCTTTGATGCACATGTAGAATTCAACGTGGGCTGGTAGGTCTTGCTGCTTTTAGATCTGTGTCATTTCTTGTAGACTTGTAATTAAAAAGTGGGAAAGATCTTCTAATTATGTATGGAGTAATGAAGCTGGGTAAATTGGTTTAAATATTGGTGGACAAAATCCTTTTGATTGTCAGTTATACAATATTAAAAATCCACTATCAATTGGCCATTGGTTTCAGTGTAGTATTAATGTAAGTAAAAACTAAATTTGAAGACTCACTAATTATGATACGTTGAAAACCATGTTTTTATTCATAAGAATAAGAATAAAGACTTCAGCCTTTATGAAATGGTTTTGTTGACATTTGATTTAATCAAAATTACATTATATTATGAGATCATTTAGTTCTCTACATTTTCACCAACTGGATGGTATAATGTAGCCAGAAGTAAGAAGATTATACCTATAAACACACACACACACACACACACACACACACACACACACAAACACACAGAGAGAGATATCCAAATCCAAGGCCACAGTTATCAGAGGCGCAAATACACTGAAATAAGGAACACACACAAAAATCAGAAAATATAAGCAGGTAAACAATGTCAGTATAATTCCCAGTATTAACTTAGTTTAAGAAGTAAAGGTATATATGTTTAAAGTGCAGCACTACCACAAATGTACATCTCCACTAATAGCAGAGCAGCTAGTTACAGTAGATGAAATTTAGTGCTAATGTAAAAGTTCAGACTTCTCAATAATTAATCATAAAATTGCCTAGCCAGTTTTGTAAATGCAATGCTGCAGACTTTCCCTGCAATATTTTGGATTGGAATTTCCATCAGGAACATGATAAATAGCCTTAGGAGAATTTTCATCCCAAGGGGCACTATAAGAGTTGCAATCCAAAACACTTGGAGCATTCTCACTTCTACTTTTAAGAACTTCTGTAAAATAGAACCGGTCTGAATATGGTGATGAAGAATATTTTGGAACAAATTTTAATGCTGAAGCATCTGTTCTATGGCTTATTTGACAGATAATTCATTCAGATCCAGGGAATTCAGACCCAAATTCATTCAGACCTGGCTAGTGACCCAGGGAATTACTATGTATAGGCTATTATTCTACTAATGTTCCCCATTTTCACTTCCATACAATGCCTGAGAGAAATATAAAAGGTCATTGTTCTTCAGGCATTAAACTGAACTTCAGTTGAGCTGAAAAGACAATGGCCAGAGGTATTTTAACCTGAGAGTTCATGAACTTTCTGAATTGCTTCTCTGCACAATTTGAACTGTCTTATTCAGAAGAACGTTCTTCATCTTGCATGGGAAACTATGTACAGCATGTGTGCTTCTTCATCTGTATAGGGAGAACATCCCTGGGCTCAACATAATTTAATTGAGCATCAGGTAGATCTTTGTAAGCGTTGTTAGGTTATCAAATTAAAGACAATATACTCAAAGTGTCTGTTAGAAATCAATAGAGTTGCAAAATGAAACCCTGAATATGCTGGCCCTGCTGTTGAAATATTTTAAAGGTAAGGATATTTGCATGAATATTCAATGACTGGCACTGCCATATGTCTATATATATAGATAAGAGGAGTCCTTGGTGGCAGTTGAGGAGCTTTATGTATACAGTGGAAACGACATTGTCTTATCATATGAACACGATAGTTTAGCCTCCTAATTCATAATGTATTCATCAGCATTTTCCCCATATACAAACACCGGGGGATAAATACACATTGCTCAGGTTGACTGTATAAAGCTAAAAAAGAAGAGATGAGTTAATTCAATATGTTTGTTGCATTGTGCAATACTGCCTGTTTTTTTCTTTCATTCAGTGTTGCTGGTTCAGTCCTTATTTAACCTTCTGTAAAAATCAATTTAAATTACAAACCCCAGATGAGTGTATATTATAGATTTCTTAAATAGTAATAGACAGTTTTGTGGGGCTGATCATAATTCCTAGAATGAGAAAACTTGATAGTTGGTGTGATTGATCATGTAGACCCAAGACTATCATACTTGAGCTTCAAAAACCCAGACACCTAATAGCAAAAAGAGTTCTGTATCTCCTGGTTGCCATCTAGTGGCTATCCAGACATTTACAGACCTAGCAAATGATCAGAACGTCCAGAGTTTGCTTTCAAAAAATTATCTTGCATTTTTTCTACCAAGCATATTTTTATGATTATTTAGAACTTGACTATACCTTTTAAAACTGGAAGGTAGTCTTCCTGGGCTATAAACACAAGAATGTGTCATGGTTGCCCTTTTAGGAGAAATTTTCCTCCCACCAATATAAGACAGCATTATTTATTTTGTATGCTGCCATATTCCCCATAGACTTGTTTGTTTGTTTGTTTGTTTGTTCATATGACTGTCCATCTCACATGATGTGATTCTGGGCCACATACAAACAAATCATAAAATTTTTTTTAAAAAACTTTTAGGAAATACAACAATTAATATTATTATGAAATGACTAAGAGAAAGGATTAGATGACAAACAGTGGAACCATCTAATAGGATCACCATTCCCTTTGATCCCCAGACCTTTTCACACAACCATGTAAGATTAGCAGAGATTGGATCAATATCACCTGGGGGGGGGGGAGATATTTGGTAGTTTATACTTCAAAGTGTTTATACATAGAGCAACATAAATGAAAACATCCATAAAAATAATAATTTCTTCAGCAGAATTTCAAAACAAAATCATTTTTATTGAAAGATCTCTAAATGTAAATGATTCTTGAGTCTTTGACCTCCATGCCACTGCTTGTATTATTAGTATATTGTTACATATTAATATATACAAGCATACTAACAACACTAGCAGCATGCTAATATGTAGAAGGTTCATCTTTTCATGTCATTTCAATCAGAAATATCTTGCTCTCTCCTAGGATCAGATGTATAAAAACACAATACAGTAGATTAAAAGTGCATTAAACAAAATTGGCAAAGACTGCTGAGAGTACAATCTTCTAATACCTGTGACCATCAGATAGGGCTATTAGAAAAGGGGCCGATGGCAATTTACAGTCCATACAAAATTTGTGGTTGCAAGGAAATTCAGCTACAAGAAGGAGACCTTGCTTTCTACTGCAGCTGTTTAACAAAGATAGGGCCAGCTGCTTCCTCACAGAAAGGTAACTAGATTTTATGCTGTGAGTAACTTAGGAGAGTCAGCAACAATAACATTTTATTGATTCAGTTTGTAAAAAGCAAAACCAAGTAAACATTCACTCACACATTGCAACATACATACTTCCCCGTAGCTAGGCTGGACTGGCTGGGCTGTATCCTGCTTACAAGGAGGAGAGCTATATCACACAGGTCAAGCTGTTTGTTCTAGTCTGCTTTTATATTCCTCACTTACAGATTCCTGGTTCCACATGTCAATATGTGAGTATAATAGCTACACAACTGCTGAGTTTATTCTCCCATTCTCAGGTAGTGATAAAGTTGTTTTTCTTTACATATTCTCCTGTGTCCCTTTACATATTTCATAGTTTAACTCTCATTGGTGCCAATGCTGTATATATATCTTTAGAAATAACCACCAACAAAAAACAAAAACCTCTGAATAATATATCTGAAAGGCACCAAGCTGGGAAATATGCTTGAATAATTCTCAAAGGCTTCTGACAGAAGCTAGGTTGATGTTACAAATATAAGGACGTAATTATGCAAATCCTCCAGTCATTTGTGCCAGTTGCGGTGTGGCAAATGCAAATTGCGGATTTTTTTTTGTCATTTGCAAGATGACATCATTGCACTATGGCATCACATGTCCCCCTTGCCCACTCATGCTGAACCCCCTTTTTTAACCATCTCTAATTGATTAAAAAAGACTCTTACTCTGAGTTCATCCTGAGTACTCTTTCTCCATGGGGGTAGGATAGTTTGCAAAATACATTTTCTTTTCAACAGAAGTGGTCCAGACAAATACAATGCTTAAGTCATAATGTTCCATCTATGAACATTCTAAACATTCTTTCTGGCCACAACAGTAAATATTCCCTGCATACTTATCCATTCAGGCCATAGTTTTAGAAAAGTCCAGGAGCAGGATTTTAGTAAACAAAATATCTCCTGGTTTCCAAATCAAGCACTATTTGAAGACAACAAAGCCTTCAGTCTTTCCAAATGCAATACCTAATGTCTATTTTCTTCATTAATAGCTCCAATTATACTGTATTTTCTATTAAAATAACATCAAGGGAGGCATTTGCTACATAGAAACTAGTATTCCATTGCTATGGGAACTTTGATACAGACTGTAATTAAATTTCTGCTGTTTGGAATTTGAAAGGCCAACACAGATTACTGTTGCGATGTTGAGTCCATTAGCATCTATCAGTTACCTTTAATTATTTGTGTCCTTCCCATCTGTTATTTAGACATTTTAACATTTTAATTAACAGCTTCCCTTTCCCCCACTTTTGTTTTTATTTTGATGTAAGACATTAAAAGGATAGAAGTATTTGTTTAGTAAATAATTGCTCACTTCATATATATTAGGTTGCTAACAAAGAATAAAGAGAGAACTGGTATAGCTATTTCGAGTTCCATTAACTCTCTTCAGCCCATATTTGGGCTGACAGGGTGTACATTCAAGATATATATATATATATATATATATATATATATATATATATATATATGTATATGTATATATATATATATGTATATGTATATGCATGTTGAGGAGGGTGCATGGATCAAAGGTAAGAACCATCTGCTAACTATCACTGTTAAAACAAACAGATTATCTTCCTTTTTGTAAGGGCTGAACCGGTACTCACAAGGATAAAAGAAAACAGAAGACGAGTGATTTCTCCGTCATTTGATAATATCAAATATGACAACTTTGAACTAGAAGAATACCCACTATCTGCCCAAGGATTTGATTGGGAATTATGGTGTCGATATCTAAATCCACCAAAATCATGGTGGAGGTTGGAAAATACTACTGCTCCTATAAGGTAATGTGCATTTGTGGGCAAATTTTCAGGAAAAGCAAAATTAAAAGGCCCAAAAATAATAAAAGAAAATAGCCAAGTTTTGGTCCTTTAATATGGTTATATACTATATTATGTTGAGTAAGGGAATGTCTAAGCATGTCTAAGCACCACATTTTTGTCATGCATATAGACTCCAGAATGAAATTGAAATTATTTAAAATTGTTAAAAAGGCTAAAATCTTATGAAGTCATACTGTTTATGAGGTTTATGGTCTCCAGAGATTTAGACAGGGAACACCCAGGCCGTCACTTAAAATTGTGATAGCATATAGTATTTGAAAGGTTGCCGATCCATATTGTAACTTCTGTACAGTAATCACTCTGGCTCAAGTACTGTAAAGCTGCTTTTGCACTATTACAACTGAGGCAGAAGTCTTCACTTCTGCAATTATATCTTATAGTAAATGATGTCATGTACATTATTCGATAAGTTGTCCACAACAATTTATTTATTTATTTATTTATTTATTTATTTATTTATTTATGAGACTTATATACCACTTTAAGTGCAAGCACTCTCTAAGCGGTGTACACCAGTAAGCAATGTATATATATATTTACATTGCCCCCAACAATCTGGGTCCTCATTTTACCTACCCAGGAAGGATGGAAGGCTGAGTCAACCTTGAGCCGGTGAGATTTGAACCGCTGACCTGCTGAACACAGTCAGCTAAAGTGGCCTGCAGTACTGCACTCTAACTGCTGCACCACCTTGGCTCAATCAGACTTCCGGTTTTGCGTAGTAGTGACTGGTTGCAGGCTTACGCATTCTCCGCATCCCCGCAGCTAATTTTACCCTGCCAGGGGACCCTAAATGAGTCTAAGTCACCCTGGAGAGGCGGCAAAGAAAGAAGGGTGCTTCAGTGATTCTGGAACGGCAGTAGCCATTCCGTTTGACTTGGGGAAAGCCTTTTAACCCGACAGGAGAAAGGCTGACCGTATTGCATTGACCAGTCCAAGCTGCTAGCAACTGAAGTCCAAAAGCACTAACCAGCACAATCGTGAACAGTGTGCTTGAAACTGGGTGAGGAATTTGATCTTCTCTTTTCTATTTTACATTTAATTTCCTGAAAAAGATCCCCAAGAAGCAAAACACCTCCAAAAGAGAAAGGGGGGGATTTCCGCCCCACCCTTATACTAACGGAAGCAGCAAATTAATCTTCTTATGGAAGATCAAAATGTATGGAAGTGAAATTGAAAAACAAATAGTTGCTCACCCCTAGTGGCAGATGAAGACTATGACAGTTATGACTTTAATGTAAGACTTGGCAAAATCTGGGAAAAGCTAATCTCTGTCTGTGAGCTTCAAAGCTTTAACAACAAAGAACAGTTGTGACAAAAAAGACAATAATCTGGGCTGTAGACAAAGAGAGAATTATACATTTTAGAAAAAAATTTTTTTGAACTATTTGGATTACAAATATCTATCTAATTGGGACTCTAAAACTATTTGCAGACAAAAGAAAGGAAGAGAAAAACTCAAATTCTTGGCTATCATGAATCAGAGACATGTAGAAAGAACATATCAAGAATACATAAATACTTTGCAAGAGGAGATATATACTATACTGCAATTGATTCAAACAACAATGACTTTAAACCACAAAGAAATCCAAAACAACTTTGAAAATATAAATCAATCTATTTCCAAGTTAACTCTACAACAACAAAAATCCCAGAAACAACAACAGAAAAGGAGCAGATAAAACAGATAAATGGATATAGATTTGAGAATAGAGACTTAAAAATGGAACTTAACAAAACAAAGAAACATGATTTAATCCTAGTGGGGAAAAAAATCACAAGAATTGGAAAAAGCAATTTATCCCTTAAGACTACAAAATAAATCGAGGACAAGAAAACAGATTGGATAAAATGGACTGTAGAGATGTCAGGAACATCGGAGAGAAAGGAAATAATAAGAGAAGTGGAGAGAAAGAGAAAGAAAAAAGATTTTCAACAAACTTGGAAAGGCAGAAGTCCCTTACAAAGACACTTCTCCTGGTTTACTTTTTATATCTACAGCAACATTTATGAACATATGGAAAAATCTTTTGATTCAGCAAAATACATTGATTAAGAAAGACACTGGGCAAAAGAAAAAGACTAAAGTGGAAACTAAGAAAATACAGTAGATGATGGGACTTACCAGAAAGAATACTTAAAAAAGAAATATTTGTTTGAATATGGTTAAAGAAATAGAAAAGTTTTGGAATATATATGTCACTCTAAGAGGGATGAATTCTCTAAATATAATATAGTATGCTTTTCCCCCTTTTTGTTCTCTTTCTTGATATGAGTAATATAAAAAAGTTGAAATCACTTAGATAAAGGAAATGTTTTAGATATTTAAATGTGATTGAATTTAAGAAAATTATAATGGATAAAAATGTTTTGAATAAGAGTCAAAGGACTAGATGACTAGATGTATTAAATGGAGTGTTTAAAGATTAAACATATTTTAATTATGGTTAAAAAGAATAAGAAATTTAGGAAATAAATACATATTAGCTTAGGAGGGATATATATTTTAAATAGTATGTTTTTTATGCTTCTTTACTCTTGTTTTTCTTTCTTTCTTTTCTACTGTTTTATCTATTCCTTAAGAAATGTAAAAGTGTGAGATGGTTCATATGGAAAAATAGAGTTAAATTCTTAAATATAATTGTTTTTTAAGAAAATCTTAACCAGTAAGAATATCTAGAATTTGGTGGGAGAAACAAATTAAAATAAGGACTGTAATAGGATCTATGATAAGGTTACCAGAATGATTGGATAGAAAAGAAATATTATATTGATGTGATTATTATTTTTAGGACTATTGGAAAGAAAATATATATTTAATTGTTATCTATCAAAACAGTAAGAATTGGATTCCTATCAATATTTAAATGAGAGAACTGGAGCTGCTCTACAGCACAGCACTATATATCCCTATATAGGTAGTATCATGTAGAAAAAACATACATGTGATCATTTTTTATTTCAATTTGATGAAAAAAATGTGTTTTGTTTGTTTGCAAAGGAGAAGAGTATTTTATGAAATTTGCATGGATGTAATATTTTGTTCTAGTTCCAATTTAGCTGCAGAAGATTTCCACATGAGTGATCTGTTTTTCCAGCAGTCTGGCTTCTTATATTTCCATTAAATCTCAAGGGAAGCATCATAAGGAACACCTTCTTAAGGACATTCTTAGTTTAGGAAGTTAGAGCATCTAGAGAAGCTTCAGATAGGAAAACATGCAACAAAAAACAAAGTATTAGCCTCCTGCCACTGTCAACAGTAAAGTAAGCTCCAAAATTCTTATAGAGAGAAATTCAAAATGAATTCTGAAATCCTGGGAATAAAGTAGCAAAATCTTTCACTGTGGCAGAAAACTTTGAAATACTGCAGGACAAAATTTGCCATCATATTAAAAGTCAATAAAAAATAAGATTACTGTTCTGTACTTATATCAGTTCCTGTGGCTCTTCTGGATTTCATACAGAGAGGTCCACAGAGGATTATGTATGAATAAAAAAAGCACCATCATGATAGTGTGACAGAACATTCATACCTTTTGTATATACATCATGTTATTGCATGCATGAAAGTGACAGAGCTTATGGCACAGCGCTCCTTATCATTTTGAAGAAAGCTTTCAATCCTGTGGATACCTTTGATTTGTAGTGCTAACTTATAGATCACAAGGGAGATTAAAGGGAGATTAAAATTTGATAGGAAAAATTACGCAGATGACTGAGGGATACTACATAATGTCTGGAAACTCACTCCAGGATCTAAAGAAATGAAATGTGAAAGTTTGGAAGCTTATGGCATAAGGTAGTTAATGGCCTGTGACTATCTACTGAGACATTTTCACTTCTAGTAAAAACATATTTATGTCATGACAAATTGGGATAATTTTCATGACATGGTCAGCTAGACCAGAGGTCCCCAACCTTCTGGGCACCAGGGACTGGTTATGTAGAGGGAGATTTTTCCACAGACTGGAGCGGGCATGGTTTTATGTGCTGCCTGCATCCTGCAAATGGGACTTTGCTTGTTTGTTGCTGGCATGCCACAGCCCAGTATTGGTCCATGGACCAGAGGTTGGGAACCCCTGAGCTAGACCATGTCCCCCTTAAATAGTTATGTAACTATGATCAGTGGCTCTTCGACAGTTTAATGTGCTGGCTAAATGTAAAACTAGTTTCAAAATATAGTCATGCTAACTAGAAATGGTAGCTGCTTACATTTCAATTACACTTATATGTGGAATAACCGCTAAATGTGATTTAATATTGTCACATGGAATGAAGACTAGGAGGTGTTAGATGTGTTCATCTTAAACAGCAGGCATTGTTTAATGCTGTTTAATTTTTCCTATCAAATTTTAATTACATAAAGTAGAGTAATTTATTTATTTGCAAGTAAAGGGAAGAACACATTAATGGGATAAATAGAATAAATATATGAATGCTTAGGCATTAGCATCTCTTCAGAATATTCTTGAGATACTTCTATTCTAGAGTAAAAGAAATTAGAAGAAGGCTCATTACAGATCTGAAGAATAATATTAGTGATTGACTGATGTTTTCTTGATTCCAGCCTTCTATAGTTTTGTTATCATCGCACAGAGTCTGATTTGCATAAGGAGGAAAAGGGAATTTTAGGACTTGTGATTTTGTAAATCTTATGAACACATCAAGAACAGATGCCTCACCTTATCATAGCTTGATCATCATTGTCATAATGAATGCTAAATTGTTTCTTCTCTTCTCTAACAACTCTTGAACTCCTTTAATGAGAATCCAGTTGTCCCCCATGCTCTTCTTCTGCTCACATAATGATAATAGTGATATTTCTGTCTTTGACTCTGCATGTCAAAGTATCCTCTAGGACAGTGGTTCTCAACCTGTGGGTCGGGACCCCATTTGGCGGCCGAACAACCATTTCACGGGGGTCACCAAACAACGCAGTCCGCCATTTCTTCCCCCTTTTCCTTGGCTGTGCTACTCCCTTTTATTCTATTGGCTTTTGAAAGCCAATAGAATAGACTCTCTTGAATAGAGTCTAATTCTATTTGCTTTCAAAAGCCAATAGGAATTGTCAAGGCTGTCTTTGCCCTGCTGAGCGCCAAAAGTCCCATTCTTCAAACGGTGCTGCAAGTTGTCTGCAGCGAAGGCGAGCTGTCTGGAAGTTTCCAGCCCTCCCTGCTGAACAACTACTAAATATGTAAGTAAAAGAGGGCCAGGAGTGGGAGGTAGGAGGCCAGCGGGCAGGGAGGGTTGCTGGCATGTGTGGGGCCCGGCGGGTGCCTTACCTCTCTTGGGCTGGGCCAGCTGGTGGCCCAGCCAGTGGTCAGCCTGCGCCATCTGTGCCGCTTGCCAGCTACGCCTCAGCCGACACAGGAGGTGGCACCAAGCATGTGCGGTGCTCCCGGGCAGGGAAAGTCCTCGGCTTACGACTGGTTGGGTAGTCCTTGACTTACTACCGGTTGGGTAGTCCTCAACTTATGACCGGTTGGGGTCGCGGCATTAAAAAGGTTGAGAACCACTGCTCTAGGATTTTTTTAAAAAAATGAATTAACACTCTTTCCTTCCTTGCTATATAAATACCATGGGGCCCTGACTCATACATTAAGAGCATTCCAAACTCATCAGACTGGTTGCCAAAATGTCTGGTCTTTCCTGAAGATATGTTCGGGCATGGCATGGCAGTAAATGAAATGGCTGAAAGAGGGTGGAAGCACAATGAAATAGGTTTTTGAGGACCGTAAGCAGTGGAAACACCATATTGAGTTCCAGGGGTATTGAATACGTACATCAGTCTTATATTTTGATAGCATTGGAATCCTATATGTTTTACCAAGCGTTACTAGTTTTATTATGGCATTATCTATGTTTACTTGTGATTGTCTGCAGGTATGTATATGGCATATAAAAGACCAAATGGAGATGTATGAAAGAAAGAGTGTATGAAAAGTTCAGTGGGGTGTCTTTTCTATATATATGATAAAGCAGTGTAGAACATCAGATTCAAAAGAAGAGGTTGCTTTTGGATGCAGAAGAATGGACAGATCACACCTGTCTGCAACTCCTTCAACCAAATGCATACTTTCCAGGGAATTAGACAACAAACTGCAATGGGCACAGTTATTTTAAGGAGTTGCAAAACAAGTGTCCCATGTGCTTCAAAGCATATTTTGAATCTGAAGTGTTACACTGCTCTACCACATATATAGAAAAGATACCCACATTGAAGTTTTCATAGTTTTAACAGTGTGTATATGTTAGCACATATGTGCTAATCCTATGCTATTTTCATTCTCAGTCATGTGAAAGCCAAAGAGGAAATATTATATGCATAATGCAGAGTTTGTCCTTCCTTTATATGCTACAGCATATAAATTGATCAAATTAATAAATAAATACCACAACATGGAATATCTTACTATTGTTAAAAATGAGTAATGATTTTTAATTAGCCCAGAAAGGAACATCTTTGTCCATGTCAAAAAGCAGGGGTTTTTTTATACAATTCATGTTAATTTAGCTTATAACTGAAGATGAGACAATGAATTGCTCTGAGTTCATGAATTGTAGGCTTGCCTTAAATGATACTGTATATGTCCAAAATCAATCTGTAGGTTTTCATTATTTCTTTTTTTTCCCAGGAGTCCGGCACTGATTGGATGTTTTATAGTAGACAGGGAATATTTCCAAGAAATTGGTCTACTGGATGAAGGCATGGAGGTCTACGGAGGTGAAAATGTGGAACTTGGGATCAGAGTAAGGAATCATCCAAATAAACAAGTTCTTTTGATCTATTTAAACTTGGTATATGCAAGCATCACAAACAATAGAAACAAAGACTTAGAAGTATGCATTTTTTACAAGATTTAGTGATTTTTGTTAAAATTAGCCTTCAAATTCAGTGTTGACAATAGCATTGTTGATGTATTGGAAAGCTGAAGAACTCAATATTACTGAATGCAAATAATATATTCCTGAGCTGGATCTTTCATATTTGGCTCCTTTCATGTATCACCAAACTTATTTAAACATTAGCAAAAAGTGTTACTATTATACAGTATATTATATATCAAAAGATATCTGATTAACTTTTGGATTATGTCCTTGAATATTCCAATCCATGGTCATATGCTCATAAGATTTTAACTATACATATTACCATTTTAGTCTACACTAGTTCTGGATCATTGCATTGTCCTCTACTACAAAGTGAATTTTCAAAGCCAAACGTGGCACCAGTTTTTTATTTTAATGTTTATGATATTAATAGTTTTATTACAGTTTTCATTTTCTTTTATTATTGATATTATTTTAATTCTTTGACTGGGTGTGCCAGAGTTTGGTATAAGATGGGGAGTTATATAAATATGTTAAATAAATAATATAATTGCATTTAGCAGAATATGTACCTGTATCAGTTGGGAATTTTCCACTGCAAACTGTAATCCTCCAGTTCTTTTGATCAATGTAAATTTCTTGAAGTCATCAAGATCTTTCTAATATTTATCAGCAAAGGTAAATTTTGAACATCTCATATTTCCTTGTTCAGACAAGAAAACTCTTAATGGGAAATTGTTTTCTTTGTAGCCATTTTGTTTAGAAGTACATTTGCATTCACAGGATCACTGACCAGCTCTATTGAGATACATTGGTTTGAATATCACTTAGCCACTAACTTGTATAGCCTTGAAAATAGAATTACTGCAAAATCAAAGTGTAGAATTGTTTACACATTTTAAAAAGTGGCAAGCCTATAAACATTTGTTGTTACGCAGAAAAAACTGTTTCTCCAAGATATTCCTGCTTATTTAAGACAGTGGAACTATTTTAGAATCAGAGAAACGATGAGATGGATGTATCATTCTTTCTTTGGCTTTGCTGAAGGTTATTCTTCATAATAATACAATTTCTATTCCACAGATAAGACATATAGATTAGCCACAGTCTATATGTTTTTGGTATCTTAACATTTCCCTCACAAAATATAATCTTGTTGCATTTTAGCAGGCCAGCTCATTTATAGAGTAAGTAAAAGTACTTCTAGGAAGATAGCAGTTTTTTTCTTCAAATTGTTGTATTAAAAAAAAGTGGGACCATGTTTTTATAGTTCAAAAACTTATTCCTTCAATGGGGTCAGTTTGAACTAGAGACAGAGATTTACTTATGTAGAAACATGCATTGATTTATTGATGTTTATGGTTAACCAGAGGCAAGAAAGATTCATCTAAAGAGGTGTAGGGTTACAGAACCTCTTTATAGACATTTAAAAATCAAGCATTCATCAGATTGGATATATTGCAATTACACTGGTTCAGCAAAAAATATTGGTTTAATTTCCTCTACAACTGGTATATTTGATTACTCTTTTGGCTTTTATGAGTAGTCTATTGAATGCAAGGTAAATTAAATCAACACTTTTAAAAAAAAAAATAGAGGTTCTTTAGTGCAAGAGGCCTTTTACATTATTCTCCTTCAGATATTTTTCTAGAAGAGCTTGGTTCCCAGCACTGCCACCATAATTCTTTTCCCTGTTAATCTCCAAGCAGCTGCTTTACATTCTTGTGGATAACACTTTCACTTATCTTGTTAGCACCTTGTTATTTTAACAATGGCTACAAATTCCAGATGACTGCCTACTTGGCTGCCTGCTCCATAAAGTCTTCTAAATAGTATGTCTGTTCCCAATTCATTGTTCCCGATTCATTGTTATTGTTATGACTAATGTTTTAGGTTTTCATCTAACACCCTCCAAGTATTTAATGCTAGATTTTTTTCAATAATTTTACTAAAAGGAGAGGTAACATTATGCAAAATTTAATTGCACACATTGCATCTTCACCTTCAGTGGCTTACATTATTGTAATTGATAGTAATCGTCTAAGAACCACAGTGTATTTCAAGGTACAGCTGACTGGGATGAGTTAAGAGAAATAGGCTTCTGATATATCCTATCATTCTTGATTGGTCAGAAGCTTGTGCTTGGGATCCTATGCTGTAACCCATCATCTTATATCTGACATAATAGTCTACACTGTATCCTTTGCCATTAATCATTTGCTTGAAACCATTGAACAGAGGTATCTGAAAGCATGAGCGGCAGTATCATCAATGTCATAGCAATATTTGATTGTATATGATTTCCACATATTAATCCTCTAGACTAGAGCAGGGATGGGCAACTATGGCCCCTTTACAACCTATGGACTTCAACTCCATGGCTGGCTCAGGAATCTGGGAATAGAAGTCCACTGGTTGTAAAGGGGCTATATAGTTGCCCACACTTGCTCTAAAGCAGGCATGTCAAACTCGCGATGTCATGTGATGTCGCATGACGTATCGTGACTTTTCTCCCATTGCCGGCAATGGGGTAGGCACAGTTTCAGTATGATGCATCTAGCCCATGGGCTGGCAGTTTGACATGCCTGCTCTAAAAGCTATAAAATTCCTGCATAGGTTCTTGGGAACATTTCTAGAAAGAGACAAAAATGTTGGATAATGTTCTTATCTACTGTAGATAGAAGAATATTTTTTTTTCCTTCTGGAAAGCCAAGCTGGAGGTTATTCTAACCTTCTTTTGAAGTTTTTCCTCTCTGTATTAACAGAATATAATTTGGTGGAAGTTTTCATGTCTTTTACCAACCTTGTTTAGCAAGATGGCTATGACTATATACGGGAAAAGCTGAACTAGAATAAATTAGGTATGCTTTAATTTTTTCAGACCGTATTCTGAATTTACTCCTTGCAGGGAACAAACATCACTTTTTCCAGAATATGGCTATTTATATCTCTACTGCAGCAAAGTTACTGAGTTATATTACAATGTATTAGCTAGCTGTGCATTTCTGGGCCCAAATCAAAAGTTGGTATTGGCTTTTAAATTTTCCACAGATTAAACCCAGCTGAATCAAAGGACTGTCCACTCATATGATTCTGTTTTGGATGGCCTTCTTTTCAGCCCATTACTAAATACCATAACAGATTAATTAGCCCTTCTAGCAGATGTTTTGCACTGCTTGCTCATGTTTAGCATGTTGTCAAAGTTCTTCTCCAACATTGTGCTTTCAAGCTATGAATCCTCCTTCTTGTATTTATACCTTACTTTTCTCTTCACTGAATGTGATACTTTGTATTTCCCCCTTTTGAAAGCAAACCTATGATGTTTAAAGCTGAGAACTGTTTAATTATTGTTGTTGTTGTTGTTGTTTTTGTTGTTGCTTCCATTCAGTCATATCTAATTCTTGCAAGTCCCTGCAATTTTCTTGGCAAAGTTTTTCAGAAATGGTTTGCTATTGCCTCCATTTTCCTAGGGCTTTGAGAAAGTGATTGACCCAAGGTCACCCAGGTGACTTTCTGCTTAAGATGGGACTAAAACGCTGTTTTCTAACCTGATACCTTAATCACTAATCAAACCGGCTCTCAAAAGAAGACACAATTGTCTGTGTAAAACTTCATACACAGTGAAGGCTACAAAAGAACTCTACTATTCTATACTCTCTAGTCCCTGTTTTTCCTCAGATTAATAAATGTAAACAGATGAAAGGGCAAATTCTTTGCAAAAGTATATTACAGACAAGAGATGACTACAACTTCCATAGCAGCGATCAGTGAGTCAAGACAGAATCGAAACAGTTCCACAGAAAGCTGGCTTCTCTTTTTGAATTTGTGCACTGTGTGTTGATCTGAGTGACTTGATAGCTCTGTACACTGGCAAAGAATTTAATCGGTCATCCTTGTGAGAACTTCCTAATAATTTTCATGACAGAATATGGCCACAAATCTCTCAATTAATATTCTTGGCAGACAATTCAGTATGCTCAGTAATTATATTAACACTGACGGACAGGGCAAGATAAAGGCACATGATTTCGTGTGAGTAAAACTTTGGGACATCTGCTGAATCATTTAAAGAATTAGAAATTCTTTTTCTAATCACTCCACAGGCCCAGCCTTGCCTTTATAAAACTATATTCACATTTGGAACTCTATAACATGCAAGGGTAGCAAAAAAATTTCTTCTAGCTGCATCAAAATACATTACAGTGCTTTAGCAGCATCAAAATAAACTACAGGATTATAATCGATTGATAATTCCAACAGTATATTTAGCATTTCACATAATGTTCTGAACTAACCTTAGCTGAATATAAATACATGAATATTTATAATGCAATCTTATGGGAAGCAATAATACAATAGTTGTTAGACAATACAAATGTCTTTTGTTTTTGTCTCCTATGTAGAATAGATCTGCAACTAAAAAATGAATCTCGGGGAAGTTAAGAAGAACTCCATTTGCTTAGGAACAATATCTTCCAAAATAAAGGGAGACGATTACTACATATTTCATAATTTTAAGATAGTTAGATTAAAAGTCATGGATTGATGTTTGTATGATGAAACATTGCCCCCTGGAAAATAGTCTAAAGAACAAAGAAAATAAGAGTTATGATGAACATGAAAACAAGTGACTTTAAAAGTAGAGATTTAACATTTGCTCCTAGCTCAAAATGCACAACAGGAACAACCTGAGAAACAGTGTCTGGAGATTTAGAAAAGTTTTAAATTGCTCAATAAATTTGAGTGATTGTTTTAAAATTTTCAAACAAATCTGAGGTTTATGAAGGCCAAAGCTTCCCATATTTATAGAAATGCATGTAGTTGCTTTTGAGCTGCATCCCTTTAAAATCGTTTTTGTCCTTTTCAAATGCTTATTCAACAATGCTTTGTTGTTTAGATATGATAATAATTGGCAGTAT